GTATTCTAACTGTAAAGTGGCAAAAGGCAAAATTCGACAAAAATTCCAAATTTCATTTAGTAAAATACTGCCGAATAAGTTTACCCCAAGATTTTGTCCAAAGAATCAAAAGTTTCCTAAAGCTCGCATCACGAGGCCTACCAGATCTCAATCTAGTAGTGTTTTTAAATTTGTAGAGCCTAAATGCCAGACAGCATTTTATCAAAAGTGCTATATCATCAGATGCATACGCGTATGGAAAGTTGTTGCTGATGAACTGAACCTACTCATGAACGCCCTGGATGATTTTAAACAGGCAATGGTAGAGTATTATAAAACCGCCTTAAGTAATTACGACTGTGAAAATCCCCGCACTTTTAAGTCTGTCTGTCTTAAATGTAATAAGTGTCGTAGTCTTTCCCAGCCTGTCTCGTGTTGCTTATGTATTTTACGTATTCTTATATTTTTAAATTTTCTGGGCCAGCAGTAACTGGCTCACGCTGTAGCGGAATCCCTGCCACTTTTTCTTTCCTACTTTGTTTGATTACCTGAATGTATTTATATTATGTTGGCGAAGCTAATAAAAAAATTCCTACCCTGATGTAAGGAAAACTGTGCGCTCTCTATGCCTAACATGATACGTGCCGAATAGAGTATGAGAGACAAAATGCTGTAACATAACTATTCATACATGATGTAAGGAAATCTGTATGCTCCTTACCCCTAACATTCTGCGTGCCGAATAGAACATGAGAGAAAAAATACTGGAACTTAACTTTTCCTACCCTGATGTAAAGAAAACTGTACGCTCTTTACCCCTAACATGATGGGTCACGAATAGAGTAAGTAGTGATATAGGGATGAAATTAAGCCTCGTTGGTGCCTTTCCCTGCCTTCTATATGCCTTCCCTTTATTTTTATGCATAGGTGTCTTCCTGCATACTAAATTAGTGCCTTCAGGGCTTAAATCAGAGTGCGGGGGTATTTTTCATCAGAGCTTTCTCTGGTTGTTACGCCATGCTAACGAGCCCCAAAAAGGGCGAAACAGCTGTCTATGGCTACAATCCCGCTCTGTTTTGAGGTCTTTCGGTGTCGTGTCGATGTCTTGCAAAGTTAATTTTCACGTAGTACTATCAGCATTGCAGTATTCTGTTTGTAGAATTTCATATCATAATGTCTACTTGTCATTTTTGCTGATCAGGTACTTTATAGATCCTACGTTCTTCAGCATATTCGTTTGCGGTCCTTTCCACTCCTTTGTGGATAATGTTTTTCCTTCCTGCATATTAATTATGTGACTGGTCAGTGTCTAGCTAGCTAGGTAAAAATGCATTCCTCCATACTAATAAGTGCCTTCCATATGCAATGAGCGTCTCTCTTCTACAATAGGCATAGGAGTTTTGCCTAGGCATGCCCAGTCTCTTCTAACCCTGATTGGGTAATGTAAAATCTGTTATGTGTTCAAAATAAAGGCGGGCAGTGTTAGAAAGCGCTATCGCTCTTGCAATCCCTTTGCCAAGTTCGAGTTATCCGAGTTCGAAATAATCGCGGAAAAATGACGGAAGAGTGGAGTGAAATCTGAGGGAAATTTAGTGGCGGATCCAGGGGGGCCCGCCCCCCCCCCCCTCCTTATTTTTAGACCAAACTGAGGCCCGAAGGACAAAAAAATTTGTTTTTTTGAGACCGGCCCCCTACCTCATCTAAGGGTCCGGATGACCGGGCCCCCTCCTTATCTAAGGGTCTGGATGACCGGGCCCCCTCATTATCTCAAGGTCTGGATCCGGCACTGATATTGGACTTAGTTCGTTCGGCTGTATATAAAGAACAACAGCAGAACTAAAACTCGATGGAATCGCCCTGAAACGGCCAAAAATGCAAAGAAATCACCATAAATTTAGACAAGGAGACAAGGTAAGAAAGTCTCGTAAATCTCAATACAAACCCTTAACATTTCTGTTACGCAACAACCATTCTCACTAGTGAGCTTGGGGTACCCGTGGTCAAGTGTAAATAACCTAAACGCAGGTCTAGGCCGCTTAAATTTGATCTTGTTCAAGTCTTGATCACCCCATTTATGGTCCCCTCTTAAATTTTATGTCACATTTCTAATACCTTTTTTCAAGGAGAATGAGTCTCCGCTGAGACCTTGCCTCAACGCTTCCTTTCCATCCATTTTTTTAAATAATATTAATAACACTGAAGCAACACTCACTCTTCTTGCATTTTAAGCAGCTGCGAGTATGATAAGAGTCAACAATTTTTTGAAACGGATTTAACTATAAAAGTTAACGTTGAAAAAGAACGACGTTTCGACTGTCCGACGGTCCTTTTTAAGTTCAGGCTAAGAAGTAATTATAGACTTATGAGATACTGACTCAAAGTAGGCAGTATCTCATAAGTCCATTCACAATTGTATATAAGAAAATGCTAACCTTTACTTCTTATCCTGAACTTGAAAATAACCGTCGGACGGTCGAAACGTCTTTTCTTTTTAACGTTAGCAAGTATGATATACCTGAAAAATGGCTTAAGAAATTCTAATCCTTCGTTTTTCCCTCTGTTTGCTCTATTGAAGCTGGTAGAAGATGTAAAAGTCAGTTTAAAATAAGCAAGGATGTCAAAAATAATCTAACAGCTTGATAAATAAATGTCACTCAGTTATAGTTTTGGTGCTTAAGAACAATGTAAATAACTAAAGATGTGATATTCAAATTTTAGCCAGGTGAATCCATAACAAAAATGATTTTTCAGTCATTTATTGGGTTTACAACACCACGACACACAACAAAAAAACCCTTGAGACACTAACGCAATAGCTCCTCAAATTGAGGCATCTTCTCTCCCCCTTCCCCCTCGGTGCAGTGTTGACGTTATGTATTCAAGTTTTAATTCAACACAATCAACACTGCTTGGGGGAGAGGGGGACAGCAGAAATAGCCCCTTATAACAACATCCCCAAGCTTTTTTAAGAGGTAGAATATGAGTTAAGTTAGCAAAGTGCGTCTTTGTGCCTAATTTCCTCAAGTGTCCCAAGACGTTTTGACCAGGGTTGTAGTTTCAACTGTTTTTAACTGTTTATTGGTTGTTGATGTACTTTCAAATTTTAGGGATAATCTCTCTTGGTTATTGCAAGGTACGTCAGTTAACGGATATTTGAAAATCAAGATATAATTTGTGGTATCACAAAGATTGATCATGACTCCTGTATCGCGAGTTCAAAGAGGCCTAGATCAACAATCCAGCCGTAGAATGTACAACCGTCGCAGCCGCATTAACCACAAACTCAAAAATATTTGGAATATATTTTCCACGGTTAACTCCTTTTACAAATAACGGTTAAATTGTTAATACTTTTTACGCCTATCGACTAAATTTTTGGTCGTAATTCTACCCGTAACGGTAAACCCCCTTGAGCCCTTGGAGGTAGGAATGTATTGTGTCAAATGTGCCACCAATTTTTGCTAAAGGAGAGAGAATTTTTGTTTTTTAATAGTCTACTAATGATACGTAATACAATCAAGAAAACATGTTAGCAAAATAAAAACCTAAACAAAGATCAGGGGCAACCAGCTTCTTTTTTTTTTCTGTACAATAACTGTTCGAAGGAGCTCATATTGCTTAGAAATTTCTAAAGCTTGAGAAAAGCTAAAAATTTCTGGATAACCATTCCATTCGTCTAAAACATTCGGAGGTTTTTCTGATAGCTTAACTACGATTTTCGGAGGTTGTGTTATTCACATTTTAATGCCAAGATATTGCGGTTATTGTTAAAAAAGGTCTTCTAAAAAATTTCGGTATAAAGACAAAACGTCCCCTATAATTTTGTAATGAAACCAATACAAGGCTACTTCATGTCCTTAAACTTTCGAGCGGACCCATAACTGTTAGTAGCTTACACTTTCGGATGAGACGAAAAAGCCACCATGGACTTTCGTGACAACCAAAGTTCTCTTAAGACATCCGAACAGATAATAGTTTTTAGAGCAACTCCAAATTAACCAAACAGGCTTCCAAAGCACAGAAAAAACGATTTGAGATACTTCTGGCGTGTTTGGAAACATTCGGTCGTTGGGTGCTCCTGAAAGATATATGACCATTGCAGTCGAGTAATCGCAATTTAACCCATGATCTCGAATCCCGTTGAAGCACTGAAATTGTATTCGGGCTTAATTGGTAATAGCTAAAATTACCCTTAGAGCTGCGACAGTATCTTCATTTAGATTTGCATTTCCGCGGTTCACATCATCTTCTTTCTGTTTAAGACAGAAAACCCAAACTCAGAAAAAAATGTTAACAGTACAAAGTAACAGTGAGTAACATCAGTTTGTGCCTCGTTCGCTTTTAAAAGCTGAAAAATGGTTCGGTAGCCGTTCTCGTAGTAGACATGTGAAATTTTGAGCAAGAGCAGCTTAGCGGGGCCAGCTTCCAATAAATCAGTCCCAGTCAACTATGTATGAGGTTTGTCAAGTGTAAAACCTGAAGTTGGTCTGACCATGGTTAATAAATTAGAATGGTTATGAAGCCCGTCAGATTCCTTTGTTATATGTCAAGTTTGTTCAATACCATTCCTATTTTTTTTATCTTACTGAAAAAAAAAACGTGGCATTAATTTATTCGGCCACAATTTGTGAACAAAACATAAAGGATTTTAACTTCAGGGAGCTCCCAACATAAATTCCAGCACGGTAGCATTTATCTTTGCGTTTGCAAACTGTTTTTCCTATTCTCCGTAAAATCGGCAAAATCAACCGCTTTGCATTCCAGCAGCTATCTTGGATGCCTTTTGCATCTTAGCGCTCCCTCCACCCACCACTATAAGCCCCGACTACCTCAACACATATGAAAAAAGATGGCCGCCCGAACCTGTAAGCGCTCGATCCTGACGGTTTCACGAAAAAACAGTGCCGACAGTGAACAATCTATGACGTTTGCTAGCCGTCTTTAAAAACTAGTCTCCTCTACAAATTACGGTCTGACCAAGCAAAAACAACACCGTTCTGCTAACAAGGACTGATCGAGAACTACACGCCAGTTTCTATTATGGTTCCTGTGTCGTTTGATTGGCAAGTCTCCAGAATTGGTTCTTCAGTGTCCGCCATTGCCTCGTTGTTTGACTTCTCCTCTGAACTACTGACCGCGGAATAACACGATCTCTTAGCCAGATACCTCAAGACAAGATGGCGAATCACCTCTCGTCTCTGAGAAAACAAAAAAATGAAAACTGTATGCGGCTATGGTGATGATTGCCAGATTAAACTTGCACTCAGTCAGCATTGATTTCAGACTTTTAATGTGTATGACTTTCAGACGAAAATAACATTGCGTTTAACGGTGGATTTCCCCTGTTGCAATTTTTTTACATGCGTACTCACGTAAAATTTACGCCTGTAAATAAAACAGAGGCAATTTATAGAAGGTGGAGCTAAACGTAAAAGCTGAGCGAGGTTCAACTTTTACGTTTACCGCGACCTTTTATAACTTGCCTCTAATTTATTTACCCACGTAAAATTTTAAGGTGGATTTCACGTGTGTAAGCACGTAAATTTTATGCGCGTAAAAAAATAGAGGCAATATATGAAGTGTAACCTCGCTCAACTTTTCATACGTTGTACGCGCGTAAATAAATTAGAAATCCATCCTAAGACCCTGTCCACACGTATCCAGATATTTTTGAAAATGGATATTTTTATCTTCGTTTCAGTCTCGCGTCCACACTAAACGACGTTTTTGAGCACCAAAAACTTACGTTTTCGAAATAGAGTGGTGTGTGTATGAAAACGCCTGCTTGTCGATTTTATGTGATGTGGACGGACAAAAAGTGAGGTTTTGGAATGCGATGATGTTATACATCATACAGGGCATGACCTGCAAGGGATGCTATCATATTTCCACCGTTTTGGCGTTTCGTGAGGACGGGCGAAAATTTAAGCTTTCTTTACCTCCTGCTCGCAAATCCTTTCCTCTTTTGAAACAGTCCTATTGACAGGCTTTCTCTTAAACAACTTTTCCAAAAACACCTGCAGTTACAGAAAAAAAATAAATAAAACAGTTCCCACTGGTAAGATAGGCGTAAATACCTTGTCCAATTGGACGACCGCTAGTGATATTTTGGGTGGCCATGCATTTCAGTTTTGGAGGTGAGTCTCAAGATCTCCAATAAACTCATTCAAGGATGTACAAATCTTCAATATCTACTTCGTGAATCTGAGTATAACGCTCTAAAAAATTCACTACTAACTTCTGTTTGTAGATTACGTCCAGGAATTTCTGGAGTTTTCTATCTACTGTCACTGCTGTGTTAATTGACCTCAGCGAAATGGTGTTGCATTCAATGTATGGGCTGATGTTCCGGGCAAACTCCGGGCTGCTGAAAAACGTTTTTTTTTTTTTCAAAAAACTGGAGATCTCAGTCTTCTTGTCTTTATCATATATAGCGTTTGCTATATTAAAAAAAAACAAAGTCACAAAATGCGTGTGTTAGAAGTGCTTAAATTTATGACCCTCGTGAATTTCTTAACACAAATTTTATAATTAAATATAATTAAAGGTGCCCTTTAGAAGCGAAGCTTCCTTTCATAGGCCATTATAGGAAGTACTCCGAAGGGACCGCACAATTTGTAGCCAATGCGTGGAGAGATGGCTGTTGTATAGAGCTGCCTATTAGCATCCACAAAAGTGGCACTATACTTTGTAATGATCAACTGAAAATCTCACTCAAAGAGTTTCAGCCACACAATAGTCGACAAAATCAGTTAAGGCCCTTTACCCTTGTGGCGTTTTGACCACTTCAAGTGGGGAAAAGGAAGCCTGTACAAAAATCTTAACTTTGAAAGAAGGGGCCGGGGAGGTGAGAGGTGCAGAAAGTACCTTATTTGAGTACAGTGTCTCTTCAATTTTGTCACCGATTGTAGCTAAGCTCCCCTGCCGTTGCTTACCTACTTTGTACTGTAATGTATTACTACTTTTCTGCGTCAGTTTTCTTATTGATATGTCTTGTGAGAAACTGTCCTCTCTTCGTAACTGGTTTCTACTAACATGTTGTCCAGTAGGCATAGAAAATAACGGAGCCGAAGCCTAGTGTAGAATTTCACGAATTTTAGGTACCCTACTGAACAACGTCAAAGAATTTAACTTCCATCAGCTACGGTGAGGTTCAGACTAGGATGTCGGCATCCTCTAGCCATTCGGTGGTTTCGGCTACACGAGCAGCTAAGCCGCCTGAAAAATTGGGTGTCGGCAGGGGTATTTTTGCAGAACGCCGAACGCAGAATACCGAACGCTCTATGACTCTAAAGTTTAGTGATTACGGTTAGGAAACGGAGTGAATCAAGTTTCAGGTCAGTTTTCCAGTCTAATGACCCTAAATAAAACCTGATTCACTCAGTCTCCTAACCGCTAATCACTAAACTTCAGAGTCGTTCGGCGTTCTGCATTCGCCTTTCGGAGAATGCAGAACGTCAAATTACTTTGAAATTTAGTGATTAGGGTTAGGAAACTGATCATGAACCAATCAAGTTTCAGGTCTTTAGCTCAGTTTTGCGAGTATAATGACATTACATGGAACCTGACTTGCTCGGTTTCCTAACCCTAGTCGCTAAACTCAGAGTCCTTCGACGTTCTGCAAAATTACCCTGCCGATTGGGTGGTGTGAAGACTGGGCACGGGCAAATGCAGGTAGGGACACCGGCATTTATCGACATTCGGCGCCAATCATCTTGAGGGAGGATAGCGATCTCCCCCATCCAGTGCGAAGGCGATTGAGGTGTGTCCAGGTCTTGCAGTTTTTTGCGGCTTATATAGGTGGTTGACGAGGCCGATTGGCTTCGTAGATACGGACTTAAAGAAAGTAAGGACATGGGTGTGCCATTTGCTTAATTCTATTTGCAGTCTCTCCTCAACCCAAAATGTAGAACGGGTGGAAAATCCGAACACTGTTAAATATATTTCAATACTTACCAAGATGGCTACGGGACAACAAGCTTTGAACAGATGTTTCATAACCCAGAAGCCTGGAAGCAGCACATACACGATGCTTAATGGTGGCGGAATAACGCTTTTCTTGTAAATCCAATTTAACCACATTTTTGTTCGCTTGAACTTCCATTCAGTATCCAAGTTTTCCTATAAATCATAAAAGAAATAACCCACACTAAATTTTACTACGTGTTACTTAGGAAAGTGTTAGGACCAGCATCGTTAGAGCTCATAATCCCACAATAGTAGGAAAATCCAAAACGGTTTATCTGGACGGGATCCCAGTGCTCAGTTCACTATGGCAGGCAAAATGTTCACCAGGTCTCGCAGAGAGCATTTCACAAAACCCTAGTGTTTCTAATAAAAGTTGTGAAAGAAGTAAGAACGTGTACACTCGAGGTAACCAAACTCAGCCTTATCCACATTATTGGGTTAAACACCAGAGAATTCAACTGAACATGTTAAATGGAATAACCATTTCACGAATTTCAACCTCAATAATTGATCACGACAGGAAAAATGATATACAACTCACAACGATTGCATTTTAAAGAAAGCAGAACTAGTCTTTACTTACTGAAATTCGTGTGTAGGATTCATTGAGTATCGCAATCAGCATGTTAAGAGCCACAAGAACCGCTACAATGTTAAACAGGACAAATAACGTCATGCCTGTTCTCCAGATGGCACCGTAGCCATTTTCTTTAATCCTAAAATCCTCAAAGTCAATTTCGCCGAAAAGCGACCAAAAGATCACGTTTGCACTGCCATACAACCTGAAGTAGCAAGAAAAAATAATAAGCCCTTGCCATGAGATAACCCAAGAGTGGATTGTGATTAATTGAAATAAGTATGTCGTTATGCTCAGTAAACGCACCGTTGCAGCTTTTGAGGATTTTCCTCCATTGCCCCCAGTGCGAAGTATTGTTTGGCCGCGTTGTACTGAATATAAATCTTTGTGAAACTAGCAGCAAATGCCACAAAAATGAAAGCGAAATACAAAAAGAACTTTCCCACGTCAATAAGCATCTGTGAAAATGCACTGAGCAAAGGACCAACACTGGCGTTTACTTGAAAAAATGAGAAATTTTGGACAAAAGCAAAAAGGATTCCCAATGATATAAAGCTTTCGGAAGACAACATGATCGTGTACGAGCGTTTTACGGCATTGTCCTCCAGCGTCATTGACCGGAATGCGTCTGGAAGAGTTGCATAGCCAATCCACCAAATGATGTGACCGAGACAGAATAACACCACTGTGGCCACGATTAAGTAGTTCCAATGGTAAGACCAGAAGCGGGCTCTTCCTTTTTGGAGAATGTCCTTGATGATGTCTACCAATTGCCCGATGACAAATATAAGGATATACACATCTGTGAAAAGAAGACACAGGTAATGTGAGGTCTTGAATCCCGCCCAATGCAAGGGAATCCCGATTCCGGATTCCGGGAAATGTTTGCTTGTGCCAAAAAATTCGGAAGAAAACTTTGCTTGTGAAATCCGAAATACAGCTCAAGGAATCCGGAATCCTCCCACTAAAGACTGGAATCCAGAATCCAAGTTCCACCGACAAAAAGTGGAATCTAGTACTTGGAATCCAGAATCCAAGGCTGTCTTAGATTCCCTTACATTGGGCGATGAATCGGCATTCACAGTGCAATTAAATCATATTATTCTCTTCCCACGTCTCTTACCACTGAATGAGTAGCTGCCCAGAAAGTGACTTGTACTTGATGTGAAAGCCAGCAGAAACAGAAATGTTTGGTAGAATCCAAAGTACATAAGAACCTTCATTAAAGGAGAATGGAAAATTCTGGTCACTTTATGTTCAGGAAAAAAGCTCTCAGAAAAACACCAAATCACGGTAGTCAACGGGTACAGCAAAGACGCCAGTAACGCCAACACCAACTGCTTCCAAAGACTTTTCACCTCCTGGAAAGGCATGTTTTTGTAGACCTCTGAATTTAAAACAAGCTGACTGTAAGGATGGGCGACGAACTGGAAGGTAAAACTCTGTGGTTAGTATAGCTTTTTAAAAGGAAATTATTCCTTTTATCAAGTATTTAACTACTTACATTAATATAGCTGAGATTTATCCTTTTGCAAAACTAAAACATATCAAATGGTTTTATCAACCGAGTTAATAAAGTAAATTAGCCACTGCCAAGGGACTGCAGCTTAAAAGCTGGGCAAGGCATTACGAACAATTGGCTAGATTTTCGAGTTCTTCAGAGAAAATCGACGAAGCGCTGGCGCGCTGAGATGTTAACACCTTTGCCTGAGCCAACAGCGCCTCTCCTTGACGGAGTTGACCGGCCGGCTGAGTGATTCAAAGTTTTTATATGGGAAAAGTTGGCCCAGTTAGGGGATCACCCTTCTAGCCGGGGCAACTTTTTGTTTGTAAACGGTTCGCCACCGTTTTGTAAGAAATGTATGAAAATTGGCTCGCCCAGTGTAGCTCGGGTATGTGGGTGAGCTTCATCTACCTGGGAGCCAGATATTGGATCTCTTTCTGGTGGCCATTTTAAATTAGTTCATCAACTCAGCCGAAAGAAGCAAATTAAACTAACTTACCCTTTGGGTTAAAACTTGTCCAGTCAAAACTCTGTTCGCCCTTTAAATTCGGTAATTTTTATCCCCAATTTTTTTTTTCGCATCTTTCGGACAAACGTCGAGACATTTGTATCGGCTTAAAGCAAGCAGTCTCCTGCCTCATCTCCTGAGCAGCAAACACATAATGCGAATGAAGTCATGCCAAAATAGCGCTCGTCTTTTTATCCGGGGTGTTTTGACATTACAATAGACATTCATGCAAATTGTGCTTCACACAAATGTACTATTCATTTTTAGAAACGCTATTGTCTAAGAACCCTAAATTAAAGAAATACTTTAAAACGTACCTTTTTCGTTTTGGCATGGACGGCAAATTCCAGCACGTTTAGCGAATCCGCCTCCAATTTAGAGAACATTTTGCTTTTACTCTTCGTTTCCAAAATGCATCTGATCTCTTGCATTGTGCAGCATTTGTTGAGGAGCGACATAGCAAACTCTTCACAGCCATCAGAAAGTTTAAGATATTCACTTTTAAACTCGTATTCTTGTTCGGCCATGTCACGGAGTTCCTTGCTCAGGCTACAAGCTCGAAGTATTGGATCTGACCCACGCTGCACGTCTTGCAGAAAAGACGCCGCGATAAACGAGTGGCTGGCCAGTGCGCGGTATTTATTTAAACGATATACGGCGGGACCAAGCTTCAGGCAAGGCGCTTCATTGAATTCTGTCGACAATGGGACATTTTTGGGATCACCAATGGTGAACCCATGTTCAAGAAGAAGTTTGACAATTTGAAAGTTCTCCAAACACGCGGCTAGGGCAAGTGGTGTTGCATGGGCACCATGACCTGTGACAGAAAGGATTTTGTCTGGTGATGTTTGGGGTTGTCCATTACAAAATTGAAGCAGTACTTTCACTATTCTGATTTCACCATCGCGTACTGCATTAATCAAAGCAAGCTGTAAGCTGGCCCCGTTTACCAGTAGTGCCTTGATAATCTCATCTCTGACGGTCTCATCTGTCAGATCTGCTGCTACTTGCAAAACAGTTTTACCAGAACTGTCCAGCCGGTTAAGGTCGTTGCTTTCTCTTGGGGAGCTGAGTATTCTCCTAAATTCCTCTAAATCCTCGTTCTTTATAGCCTCGTATAGATTTGGTTGTAACTTGTCAATCGGTCGGCAACCCTTAACCACTGGATATTCTGGCAGGAGAATATCTGATAGTTCCATTGGAAGCAATTCGCCAACAGAGCATACATTCACCTGTAATTCAATGAGTGGCCAAAATGGTAATGAACTTGCACGATACCTGCGTTTGTATTGTCTGGTGCGTTTTTATTGTCTCGAGTGCTTTATTGCTTGGTGTGGATTTGTGCAGTTGAAAGTAGCAATGTGTTTTACATACATATGTTAACACACTGCTGAGGGATACTGATCAAGAGATCTAGAAAATTGTATGAGAGATCGAGCCTTAACATAATGAATGACATTGGCAATGACAAAAAGCAGCAACATTATATAATGATATATAAAAATGATAAATATAGCCACTAGAGCAACATAGTACATCTTATGTTGTAGAAATAGGAATTGGGATAGCCTAGACTTAATGTAATTTTGATTTTTTTTTTTAATTATTGAATAATTCAATTTCAAGCAAACAAATAGAGTTTCCATTATTATTAGTATTCAGTATTACCTGTCTGTATTTGCTCAAACTTGGCTAAAAAAATTTCAAGTGCATTTTAACCATTTGAAATCTAAGTCGAATGGAAAACAGTTAAAAGTCACTAGCTGAGGCTTAACAATGACAAATATTAACGC